TGTGCATTTAAATATTTAAAAATATTTATTGCTGAAAAATGGCAAAATATTTATAAGCTCCAAAAATATGCCATGTGCATATAGGGATATAAAAGGGCAATTTTGGACGCATCTATTTTGTATGTACAGCCCTCGAGGCTGTACACAAGCCACAAGGAATGCAAGGACATTTAGAGCAGAACCTGCTGACCCGAAGACAGGAAGGTGGGTCTTAGGTTCAGCATCAGCAGCATATGGCAGGTCATGCGTAGACAGTAGATATTTTAAATATGCAGATCAGGCAAAAGGTTGTCTGTAAGACAAACAGCACAGAGGCGAGAGATGTGCTGGGTGGTGGGCAGAATGTCCAGCTAATGCCTGGCGATTGTCTCCCAAACATAAATACCAACTAGCGCCCCCCCGGGGGAGCAACAACAAGAGCTGCACAACAATTTGCACATTATTAGCATTAGGTTAAGGTTTTATTTTTATTTTGTGTGTGTTTCGGTTTGTCCATTTTCTGTTTTTATTTGATTTGATTTTATTTTATTTTTCCATCCTCCCTGTCCTGGGCTCTGTCTGGCGTTTCTGCATTTGCATTGAGTTGGGTGCAAATCCGTAACAAATCTTCGAAATTGTTTTACTGACTCTGCACAGCATTGAAATTCATTTGATGGCCAAAATCTTTTACCCATTTTTATATGCATATGTGTCGGAGGAAGTTTGTGTTTATTTTGGCTAAAAGGAATTTTCTATTTTAGCTTGAAATAGAATTAAGAGAGATATTTGCGTGTGGCTTACCCTCGCTATTGAATGCAATTCCTTATCCAATTGCAGCTTAACTCAATAAATATTGAAATAAATACACGATAAATGTTGCTTATGGTATTCGATTACCAGTTGAATGGATGCATAACCAACACAACAATAAAGTTAGTTGAGTATGGGCATTCCCGCTGCTAAAGCTTAGCCCATAAATACTCGATAAATAGCCAAAGACATTCGATAAGTGGTCCACAATCATTGGCAATTCCACCTTAACAAAACGAAATGCAAATAAATGCCCCCCCCCCCAAAAGGTCTCTAGAATTGAATGAATCCCGTATTAGATACATGCATTACCCACTCGTATGTCTGTGTGTGTGTGTGTTTGGTTTTATATAAATACGCACGAGATGTTACGCCCACAATCTCCTCCACAGACATATGCCAGAGTCCAAGCAGAAGACGGCAGCCAGCCAGCGTCCGAGGCTGACCCAAAGCCAATTGCCTTTTTGCAGTGACTAAGATTTATTTGCATTTCCGTTTGAATGCATTTCTATTTTATTTCTATGGACTGAACCCTGGCTGAACCATTGCTTTTGTACAGCAGACACGCACATGACTAGACTGAGGGGAGGGGCAACATGTTTCGACTTTTGGCAACTAACTTGCCCTGCGTATTCCAGCTACTGGTTCTCCATCATAGTTGGGTACAGTTGAGACTGCTACGACTACAGCTACGTACAGTCTCGTACTTCCCGCTCCATCCTGCACTCCTTCTAACGCTTTCTACTTATAATGCAGCGCATTTTCTATTTGATTTCCTTCTGCCATTGCCCCATTAACAAACTCAATTTGCAAAGCATTTTTCAGCTGGGCTAAAGGGACAGCCCAGAGAGGACAGCGTACAGCGTACAGCGTACAGCTTCAAGTATAATGGTTCAGGAATAAGAGTCTATTGGGTCTTTGTCTTTTGGCCATGTCGCTCTGCTCTCCATCTTCATCCCTCCATTTCGCTGCTGCTCTCATTCCTGACCAGTGCAACACGTTTCACGTGATGCTGCTGCTGCTGCTGCCAGCCACTGCGACTGCTGGAATTTTGCCCCGCTCCACTAACAATGTGCTTTCCGTGTCCTGGATCCTTGGGATCCTGTGTCTATGCAGAGCAGAGCAATTTAAAAATCGCTTACGGGCACGCCACTGCCATAAAATCAAGCACCATCCTCATCCACCCACCACCATCATCATCATCATCTTTAGCAGCATCATCACGAGGTGCTGGAGAAGCACCAAACCGTACCAACATGCATTTTGGTTACTTTTATTCTCATTTTTGATTTGGATATTCCCTGCTGTTGTTTTTTTCTCTTTCTATTTTTGTTCCAGCTGCAAAATGTACAGTACGTGACAGATTTGTTATAATTAAGATGATTGACGAGCTCGAGACGAGCCCAGACGTCGCAACCAAATATAAAAAAGAGAAAACCTCAACCCGATAGCAATACTTTAATGGCACATTTCAGGCAGTTGAGTTATGGCGGAGTAGAGTTTGTCAATGGGTGTTCTTCTGTCGCTCTAGAGTGCATAAATTTCAATGTTAACAAACAATGTTCCAATGCTTCGCATCGAGACACAGCGCCCAGCCACATGCGCTGTGCTTCGATTGAAATCTAAATTGCATTGCAAGCCCCACACTTCCGCCAGACCCTGCAGTGTGGGTGGCTACAAATTCAACTGTAAAAATTGCTGCAGTTAAATACTGCACTTGATAACAACTACAAATGCTCGATGTGTTAGATGCCGGGTCTAACAAGCGGTAGTACGGAGGCAGAGGGCAAAAGGCAAAAGGCACGGGCGATGGTGAACAAAAACAAACAGGATATGGGCGGTCTGCGATATGTGTTTGTGTTTGTGTTTGTGTGTGCTTGTGTGGGTGCACATATTGTGGCTGCAAGTGTGCGTGGGACATACATAACATTACACTGCAGTTTTTGCAACTGCAAAGAGGGGCCACTGCCATCGGCAGCAACAGCAGCCGAAGCAGGAGCAGGAGCAACAATAATGGCAGTAGCCTCCAACTGCAGGAACAATAATAATGGGGAATTTTGGTGCATTTTTGGGTGCCAGGTATAATACTCTTTGAAGGGATAACTGTGGCAAAACAAATCACAAATGAATCAATCATAGGATGTACATCCAAAAGGGAAATCTATCAATGTGATGTCAGGGAATAGTCTACGATTCAAATAATAATAAATAAATGTTCAATGATCATTCCAGGTGTACCAAAACAGTCTAAAAATCTTTATATTCTCACATTTTCTTGCTCATTCAATGCTTCATGTTTATAGCTCTGAGTATCTCTCCCTCTAACTATACCATTCGAAAGAGTATCACAACAATTACCAGGGACTCATTGGACTTCAACTTCAAATCAAAAGGCCAGCAGTTCCCGCAGCACTCTCCGCCGTATTGCGTTTTATTCAAAAGGATATTGGGCCTGGGCTGCCAATTGGCTGCCCCTTTAACGCACTTCTCTACTGGTTACTGTCCATGGCAGTGGCCCTGTGCCTGTTCTGCGACTGCTTCTGTCATTTACAAGTGCAACAGCAGCAGAGGCAACACCAACGACAGCCGCAGGCATCATGAAAGAGCATTGTAACCGCAAAGCGGAGATCGGAATTGCATATGCAAAAATGTAACTGAAATTCGTGAAATGCGAAGAGGCCAAGCCAGAAGCAGCAAAACGCAGCAACGAGCAGGCAGGACACACCCAGCACACAGAGGAGTCGCGGTGCAGGAGTTCGATGCGATACCGAGGCAGCGGCAGTGGAAGTATCCGGAGCGATGCTCTGGCCAATCGAATAAAAAGTGCATGAAATATGTTTACTGTTATGTGTTGGCGTTTATGCTACCCACACCCCTTTACTCCCCTCCACACCACTCCCCGACACTCGATGCTGCTTCAGTAATAGCTTCATGCCAGAGCTTCCTTCCATTCAATGCTTCCTCCGCCCAGAAGGTCAATAAAAGGTCATCGAGAAGGTTATAACGGCCACAGCCAGCGCATGTGAGTGGACCCCCCGAAGTCTGTGTGGCTGTGTGGCTGTTCATGCGTTTTGCGAATGTGTTCGGTGGGCAGAGTGGCCTTTGTGTAGGCACAACCTGCAGCCCCTAGAGTCAATAGGTAATCCAAAATTGTAGGCGCCTTTTTTTCGTTTGCCAAAAAAATGGGTAAGCAGTGCCAAAAAGTGAACAGATTAGAATGAAGTGTGAAACGCCAATGGACGAAGGCTGGAGAATGAGTAGCCAAAAATGATTAATTTGAAACTCTTTCAGTGGAAAAACTCTCTAGCCCTTGGAGAAGCCAAGCCACAGGCCGACACAAAAGTTGAGCGAAACTTTTTTTGGGGGTAACTTATCATTTTACATTTTACACCTTTTAATTGCCAACTGTCCGGGGGTTTTCCGGCATCGGCTTTTGGCTTCTCATATCAAATGGCCAACACTCAAAAATGTAGCAAAAATTAGAAGAAAAATCCTCTTAGCTGAAATGTAATTTTGGAAAGTTCCCCTCCAGTCGCCCAGCTGCAGCTCCAGCGTATCGTATAAATCAGCTTACTAAAAACTTTCAACGTATATCATCAACACACACACTAATTATGGTAATTTTATAATTTTCTAAAAACTGCAGGGAGCAAAAAAAAGAAAGAGACAGCAAACGGAAGAGGAAGCAGCTAACCGCAAGCCAGAGATAGAGTGCTGGAAGCCAGGGACGACCCAGGAGGCGTTTACTGTTGATGTTTAATAAGCCAAGATACACACACACACACACACACACTGATACACTACTGATACACAAACATTTTGCTGTTGGAGCTGGAAAACAAGTTCTTTTCATGAAATTTGAACATAAATTCCAATGAACGAAACAAAACCAAAGTGCACAGAACTGGCCAAGCACTCCTCCTCCTACCCATTCAGTTTTGCTTTTTGGCATGCAGTTTAGTGTTACCAGGCCCCCAAGGGGTGGACGAAGCCTGAGCGCCCTGAGCGCTCTGAGGAAACTGCCCAGAGTCCCGGAGTCTCAGTCTCAGTCGCTCAGTGGCAGTAAGAAAACGCCAAGCCCAAAGCAAAGGCAAACTATAAAATGAAACAAATTACTGGGCAAGTGCAACGAGTTAGCAATACCCTGTAAATTATAGCAGGGCCATACAAGGAGAAGCATAAATGTCTAAAATAATTCTACTTTGACTTACGATTTTCGTGCATTTCTCGCGGTTTCTGGTGCAATTTTTAGCACTGTTTTTGGGGGCCAGAAAATAGAGTTTTTCATCTGAAAAGAATACAAGAAATAAATATACAACTTAAAGCTGTTCTTTCTACAAGTTGTAGATATTATAACACAGTTTTTCCCAACCAAAGATGTACCCAAAGCCCTGCCCCACATGCAGGATATCAAATGGAAAACGAATACCCAGCAAGACCTAGGCACAAGGAAAGGCGTGGAAGGGACCATAAAGTTTTGTGCCCAGCCACAGGGTGGGCGGAGAGTACTGGGCCGCAGAGCAAGGGCCGAAGAAGGACCGACCCCGGCAGGACAGGGCAGGACAGGACATGGGGAGGGAAGACCACTGGCAAATCAACTTTGCAACTTGAGACTGTTGCAGTCTATTAAAATTACCCCGACGGGCAAGTGGGGCGCTGTGTGTCTTCTGTGTGTGTGTGTGTGTGTGCATGTTTGTAGGCGGTAAAAGAGGGCGTGTCAAGCGCAAGCACAGCAATGGGCGCTAAATTAAAGGCAACTGCAAGGCGATGGCGAGTTCGCTGCTTCTTCTCTATCATCTCTCTGCCACCGTGCCACTTCCTCTGCTCGCTGCCTCTTCCTCTGCCCACTATGTCTTCTTCTTGTGCTTCTTCTGGCTGTACTAGTTCTGCTTTTGGTAGTGCTGCTGCTGCTGCTGCTGCTGTTGCTACTTCTGCCTCATGCAGAGCTATGTTTCCGGCCGCCGCTGGCAGTTAGCAAACGTTCCAAGTCTCAGCCAACTTTCGCAATTAGAGATGGCAAAGCCCAAAAGGCGAGGGAAAATCCTCCAGCTATCGAAGCTCAGCTGCCCGACTGCTGTTCACATTTTCCCTGCCATCTTTTCACGGGTCACGTTGCCATCGCCAAACGTAATGGCAGGCTTCTCTTCCGTGCTATAGTACTTCCTGCCCGTGCACTTGGTTACGCTTGGGCTGGCCTTAGGTTGCTGCTGCTGCTGCTGCTGCTGCTTCTTCGGTTGCTGTTTCTCGCTTATTTTCTTTTTGGGGCTACAAAGATGGACTGGGCTGGGGGGGGGGGCTGGTGTGGATCCTACGGCCTCGTAAATTTAAAGACTATGCAGCTACTTGAAACTTTTGCTGCAAGGCGTTGCCATGTAGTTTATGGCTGGACCTAACCATCAAGCTGTTGTTGCCACCGCTGCTTGATGTTGATGTTGCTGCCCCCGCTGCTGTGTGTGTGTGCCTTCATTTTCATATCTTATAGCGGTAGTTACACTCGTACCCAAACTGCAGATTGAGTGGGGGGTGTGGGCCCACATTGTGGCGGGGCACTTTTGCATATTTCCTTTGAAGGGTAAGAGCTGCGCCGCACTGATTGAGCAATTCCTGATGATGATGTTCCCGCCTGCACACCAGAGAGTCATCTCCAGGGATATTTATTCATGTGGCGGCGCCATCATCAACGTTATTATGATTATTGAAAGGCATCAAGCGAAGTCAACGAGGCGGGGCCAGCACAAAATTTTGTGATGTTTTTTGGAGCAAAATCATCAATATCGCATCTTAGCCCCGGAACCATATCTCATGGCCCTCTACCGCCCTCCGTCTCTCCCTCTTGGGGCACTCACTTTGTGGCGCATTGTTCAAACATAAAATTGATATTTTTATGGTTGTTTTTCATTCCTTTCCCCTGCCCGTTTTGGCTTAATGAGCGGTAGTTGCCGTGTTTGTAGTGGCAGTAAAGTATGGCCAAGATTGTTTTCCGACCAAAGCCAAAAAGAAGAACCAAAAAGATGAAGAGAAAAAGCAACAAAAAACAAAAAAAAACTATGCAAATATTTGCCTCTTGATTGCCGAGTGGCTGTGTGGAAGGTGGAAAGGATAAGGAGTGGTAGATGGCAGCTGATGATACGCTACATTGCTTCATTATGAGTTTAGCGGGGGGGAGGAGCAAGAGCAAGAGCAAGAGCAAGAGCTGATAATGAGTAACTTTGTTTGATCGCATTTTAAATCAAAGAAATATTAATCATCCGCATAGTTGGTAAATATTTTGTGTAAGCGATAAAACATTCATCGATAGAAGCAACGAGGCTGCAGAAGGGATTAATTGAATGCCTTCTGATATATTCCTTGTATATTAATTGGATATATATAATATATAAATTAATTATATAAATAATCGCATTCCTCTGGGCATTAAGTACGAATTTGTAAAAGGATTTCTTGGCTCTCTTTCACTTAACTCCTTATAAATTAATTGCACTTCCCTCTTTAATTTTTTATTCGCTCATATTATTCCGCATGTATTTATTGTATTTATAATACCCTCTCTTTAGTGGCATTTCTCCATTTATCGCAGCCATAAGAATCCTTCTCTTAATTGTTCCAGCAGCTCACGTACTTCCCCCACACATTTTGCTCGCATTTTTCTGCCTCAACAGGCAAACAGAACGTGGCAAATTATTTTCACACCCTAATTAACGAGAGCTACAACCCCTCGCAGCTGCCTACTGCCTACTGGTCCTGCTCCTTGATGGAGTGGCACATGGCCTGTTCGCTGCCTTGTTTCCGCCCTCAAACTTTGACAAACAAAATTAATAACTTTCATTTGTATTTTTCTCTCTAAAGTTGCACCTGCGCTGCTCTCACTAATTTGAGGACTGCCTGACTGTCTCTCTGACTGACTGACTGACTGACTGATATATATGCTAATTTAGTTGCTGATTACTTACTTGCCAGCTTAATTAATATGCATGCGAAAAGTTGGCACGCCATAAAGCGAAATAGATCTGTATCTGTGAGTGTCTCCGTAATGCAATTGCCTTTGACAGTCAAAGTTCTTGTTTGATTTTTAATGAATACTCGAGGCAACATTCCGTCCCCCCCCCCGTGTCTCTGTGTCTCTGTGTAGCCTCCCCAAAAGTTAAATGTACTTAAACTCACATATTTGCTGTCGACTTTCTTGTCTTGTGGTAGCCAAATGATTTGTATGACCAACTTTTTGGGCCTGCTCTACGCCCTCGTTTCGGCTTAACAAGTTTAAGTTTTGGTACTCGCTTTTGCATATTTGTTTGTCTTTTTGTGTAACTATTAAATCTAGTTTTAATTGACTTGATCCAAAGTGGGTCAACTTTGCACCAATCAAAGGGAAATGGGTTAGCTTTACTTTCAGGTTTGGTTTCATCTTTTGTGTTTAGCCAGAGTTAATTAATTTCTTACTTTCAGTCACTGTTCGTCGCTGAAGTCCCACTCTGGGACAAAGCACCACTTAACGGTGGGTGGCAAAAATCACAGAAAATCTCACTCTCTCTCTCTCTCTCTCTCTCTCTCTTACCCCAAGTCAAAGCTTATAAAACAACAGCGCAAAATTCCTAGTTTTTCCTGATGCTGCTCTCCTTCGCTCTCCTTTCATTTCTTTTTCTTTTCGTTTTTTGTTACACTTTTGTAGTGCATTTTTTCGGAACATTAACTGCTGTCTGTTCCCATTATCCCTAACTAGCAACCAATAGACTCACACACTTCGTCCTTCCCTGCTGCTGCTGTTCCCTTGTACACTTTACCAGCAAATGGCAACTAAAGTAGCAGCCATTCCAAGGCAGGAGGTCTGGGGCCTGCACTCAAGTATTCACACGAAAGGGCAAGCTCTCTTCTCTCTGTGTGTGTGTGTGCTGCTCTCCCCCCCTTACTGGCATTTCTTCAGTAGTCTTTCAAATGTTAAATGATGCAGTTACAACAAATTACCTCGGAATGTCTCAGCTGAGAAGGAGAAGCAGTCCTTTGGAGTAGAAAGGAGGAGCAAGGTATGCCGCTTGTAGATTGCAGCTAGAGATGGCAGCGTGACAGACCAATGGCATTCATTTCTGTCACCACTAATTGCAGTTTGAGTCTGCCAGCTGCCTGCTGCCTGCTGCAGAGGGAGCCACAGATTTAGCCAAGATTTTAGCGGGGTTGGCGGAGCGAGTGTTTAAATATTTGGTGGGTTTTTGAATAGTTCGTGTGTGTGTGCTAAAATGAAGTTGTTTGCAGTTTCAATTTGGCAAGAACCAAGCTGCCTCCTTCCCCGAGGCAGAGCTCTTTCAATATCCGTTGTCGTTGAAGTTGACGTGCAATTAGGAAATGTCAGGCGGCAAGTGCTCTCTGCTCTCCTCTACGCCGTCCAAGTGGCAATGTTGCATGAAGTGCTGAAGTTGCTAGAGGGAGCAGCAGGTGCACACACACACGCACACGCACACAGAGGACACACACAGGAGACAGGACACAGGACACAGAGCAAGGAGACATGTCGCGCGGCTTACTGCAAACATAAACCCAGAGAAATGACTGCACATAAAGTTGCTTTAATTGAGTTTTATGCTTTCAATTTTCGGCGCTATTATGGACGCGCAGCGTAGAGAGACAGAGACACAGACACAGGGACACATGGAGGAGAGCGGGATGCCGTGGAGACATCTCTCCACACACATGACAAGCGGCAAAAACCCATAAAACTCATCTGTCAAACACTGGAAACGCCGCCTATCAACATTCATGTTCACTAATCCTTGGCATATATGCGCAAACGGATATATAGTCGAGGCAACCATCCACCAGGACACTGCCTGAGTGTGTGTGTCTGTCGAGCTGCCATTATCAAGGTTTTTTGTTTGACTGCATGTGTGGTAGAGTGAGAGAGTGTGAGAGAGAGCGTGGGGAGTAAAGTGTGCAAAAAGGATTAAGAGCAACGAAATGCGTTGCTCGACAGACAGTAGGTAAAAGCTGCAAAAGAACAAGCTGGAGCAGCAGCAGGAACAGCAGTCAAAAATCATATTTCTCGCTACGTTGAAAGATGATCTATCAAATGGTATTAGTTAGGGGCAAAAGCTGCAGCTAAAAGGAATGTCTAAGCAAAAAATCCAAGCCCCTCACATGACAGCAGCAGCAGAAGGAGCAGCATTAGGTGCAGAAATGTGCAAAAATTCACAGAAATTTATGGATGAAAATATGGCAAGAAATGTCGATTGTTGAACAAGAAATAATAGGCAAGGAAAAGGAATAAAAAAGTAAATACTTTAAAGGTGAAAAAGCTTCAAG